AAATGTCATGAAATTATTATGCCAGTCAATAGTGAGATTAGCATAATAAAATCATGATTTATCAAGTATAAGCTTATAATATTAAATATTAAGGACTTGTATGCTAATGTCAAATATATAATAAGTATTCAACTTCAATTTCTTAATTATTACAGATAAGTTGACTTCCTTTTTATAACTATTAGCAAGTTTTACAGTGATAGGATTCATATTATATATTTATAATTGATTATTTTTAACATATACTTCACTAATAAATTTTATGATATCTTTTTTAAGAGAAAAATAAATAACTAAGATAAAGATTTATTTTAAGAGAATAATAAAAATAAGATAAAGCTTTATTTTAAAATGATAATAAAATAAAGATATATATTAAGAGAATAATAAAGTATCTATTTAAGTTTTATTTTGAAAATTAAAGTAATCAAAAGTTATTTTTAATAGATCTCTTTTGAAAAATTTATTTATATTATATTTCTATACTTTTATGAATAAGATTATGAAAAAAATAAATTTATATAATCTAATAAAAATAAATATAAAATTATATTAAAATTATATAATATAAAGCAAATTATAAAAGAAATAGAAATTATATAATTTTTAATATGTAAATAAAATTTTTATTCTAATTAAATTATTAATAATAAATTTAAACTATTTTAAAATATAATAAACTTATTTTGAAATATTTTATTATAATATAACAAAAAATCTAATTATAAATAAATATTTAATAGTAATAAGTTATTTAAAATATTATAAAATAGCAGATTACTATTTTCATAAAAATTTAGCAAATAATTATAACTTGTTAAATTAATTAATTAACTAATTAAATAATTAACTTTATTTAACTTTATTATTAATTAATCAAAGTTATTAAATTAATTAATATAATTCTAATTCTAATTTTATTCTAATTTTGATTCTTTAAGTTATTAATTCTCTTATATACAGTGGCATGCATAAGTAATATACTACTCAAGTCATCAATCTTAAATTATAAAATTTGTAATCATAAAAGTAATAATGAATATGCAAATGATGAAATATGTATCAGCAAACACAACTTAAACTACCTATAAAAAATAACCAGACATTATTATGTCTAACTATGAGCAATAATTATTAATTTGCAAAAATAATAGTGTATTTTTTTTGTCATTTATTAAATAGAAATCATTTTCTCAAATAAAATTTTATTTGAAATAAATATAATTAAATAAAAAAATTATAAAAACATTATATTACCACTTTGTATATCCTCTTCTTACTTTGATCACATTTTTAATTCTCTCTGATATCATGTTAATCAGATCAAAATAATGATCTGTTTTAATGTCATTTCAAATCTCCTTCAACCTTTTTCAAAGATTATTTTTATTAGAAATTACATCCAGAAGTACATGAAGATAAAGATCAACATCATGCCATAAATTTTTAATTAGATTGAGATCAAGGGATTATGGTGGCCACTTTAAAACAGAAATATTATGATTTTCAAACCATTTTAATATTTCATCAACAATATATTTAGGATCATTATCCTGCTAAAAAATAAAATTATTAGATATTAAATTATATAAATTTAATAATAAAAGAAGTTTGTTTGAAAGAATTTGTTGATAATATATACCATTCATTACTCTATCAATCCTATAAAAATAGCCAGTACTATTAATATTAAAATAATCCTATACTATTATATTATCATTATCAAACTTGACTGTAGGTTGAATATGCGTACTTTATAATAGTTTATTTTTTTTTTAGCAGTATTGATATCCATCAGACTGAATATTTGAAATTTTAATTCATCTGATTACATAACATGTGACTAATTATCAATTATTCATTTCTTGTATTTTTTTGCAAAGACTAATCACTTTTCACAATATTTGATAGATAAATATAACTTTTTTCTTTTAACTTACACCATTATATCTTGTCTATGTAATGCTCTACATATGATATTAATCTTCACACTAATTTTTTCATTGATTAATAATGATTTTTATAATTAAATCACATTTGAATATTTATGTGTTATAATTTACCAGACAAGAGTTCATTTATTATATATATTAAGTTTTTACAGATGATCTAATTTAGATTTATTTTTAATACTATTTATTTTTTCATATTTTTTTTAGATCTTATAATGGTCATATGATAAACTTTATAATGTGTAGTAATGTTATGGGTGCTATATCCCTCTTGAAATAATATAATTATTTGGAAATATTGCTCTATAATAAGTTGCATTATATTTTAATAAAAACTAAAAATATATATATAAATATATTAAAGTAAGTATGGGAAAAATTTTTTAATTATGTTAGTTTTTAAATTATTATATAAAAAAAAGGTTTATTAATACTTACTTTGCTCTTTTCAAAAGAGCAAAAAAAATGCACTGATATTCAGGAGAAAAAAGATGACTTATGAATAATTGGTATAATTAATATCTGTTTGTTTTTTATCTATATGTAGAGCTCATGTTTAGTGTTGATTAGTAGAATCTATTTATCAGTTAGCTCTCATATAGTTAAGAACTACATAAATAATGATTGGTAATTTGAATAGTATGTTATTTATGCAAGCCACTGTATTAATCAAAATACTTAGTTTCATGAGATTAATATTTGAGATAAGATTATATATATAAAATTAAAATTATTTTATTTAATAATATATATAATAATATAAATATTTTTATTATTATTTTTTTATTTCTATTAATAAAAATATATTATTTATTTCTAAGTATAAAGTATAAAGAATAATAATAAGTCAGTTTTAAATAAATAATATTTAAAAATCTATAAAAATTATATAAATAACAAGATTTTTATATAATATAATTAATTAGATTCAAAAATTGTTAAGTATTTATTATTTTTCAGATTTGAAAGATTTTTAATTTTTATAGATAAATAATATTATATTTTTAATTAATTAATATAAATCAATAATATCATTACTATAACTGAAAAAACTAAAAGATTTAAATAAAAAAATTCTAACTTAAAAGTATAATTCAATATATCTTAAAAAAAATTTTGATTTGATATTTGTTATTTATTATAAATTTCTCTTTTATAATCTTATCATATTATAGCTCATCTTGAATGAGCACAAAAATATATATATTAAAATTGATTTCACATAATTTTCTTTGATAAAATAATTCTTTAAATATTCAAAAATACTTAGTTAATAAAATATTATTATGAAATATTATAATAATATTAAAGTATAATAAAATATTTCTATAAGATTCATACTTGAAGTACTTTTAGTATACAAGAACCAATATTCTTGTCTTGTTTACTAAAAACTTCAATACTAAAAAATATCAAGAAATGCTTGAAATATATCTTTTTTTCATATTTTTATAGCAAATTATAGATTATATTTTCAATATAATAACTCTTTAATTCATAATATAGATGAAATAATCAATCTTTTTTGTTATCATAATATTTGAATTCTTGATTGATTTTCTTACTTGTCAAATATTAATTTCATTGAGAATTTGTGAATTATACTTAAGGAAAAAGTAAAAAAAAAGATAAATTTATAGTTAATAAAAAAACTTCAATAATAAAATTTTAAATAATAATACAAATAAAATAGGTGAGTTTGAGTAAAGATCTCTTTCTTTAATTAGCAAGAAGTATGAAGGATCATGTTTAGCAGTGATTGAATGGAAGGGAAAAAATTGATTATTAAATTTTTATAAATAATTGGTAGTCATATTTGAGAATGTGTGTAAAAAATTTTCATACATGTTAATAATAAAAATAAAATGTCTTACCTGTTATAATAAATGCCAGATATTTATATCAATCACTATATATATACTTTGCATTTACAATATTATAGCTCTTAAAAAAATAAAGAGTGTCTTGAACTAGAAAGAAGGTGAAAACAAAAGATAACAAAATCACTTGAATATAGTTTACAATATTGAATCTTTGCCAAAAATTTAGTTTTAGTTCCAGCTAATAGAAGTACTTTTGTTTTAATACAAATCATATTGTTAATTGAAATTGTACTGAATATATCTAGGTTCTAATAATATTTTTGTTTCAAACATAATGAATTTACTAATTGTTCACAATTATATCATAATACTTGCTTATTTGTTGATTATACAATAGCAGAAATATATCACAAGAGTTTAATATTGAAAGAAATTCAAAGTTAACTCGAAAAAATAAGAATACATGATGAGTTACAATATTTAAGATATTAAATTATTTCAAAGATCATAAAATGAACAGCATTATATTGAAAACGTGTTAGGCTATCAAATAAAAGAAAGATAGTAATATTCTACTTATTAATCAAGGTGAAGAATATCTTTAATTTTGGCAAGACTTCAATTCTAAATAACATAAGTACTTTTTCGTATCAAATCATTTTTATAACAGTTTTCTATTAACAAATTATGTATTAAAGAAATTAACAAAATCAGATATTTTTTTGGTAACAGATTTTGAAATTACATGTAAATGTATTATATAATTTTACCTAACCTATAGCGATAGTAATAATCACTAGTTACTATTAATACGGTTATCCCCTTAATTGCTTAAAAAATTACATGTACATGTACTGTACATGTAGTCGAGAAAAGCTTAGTGATACAAATATATGCACCATATGTATAACTTCTTTTGGCTATCAAAAACAAATTTATTCACTAGTATCATTGGATGAATAATCAATTGCGTAAATAATACGCATATACGCAGATATTATCATTATCGTTGTTATCCTTTAAATAATCACAAGCGAAATAGAAAAATAAAATTAGATTGCATAACGAATAGTATAAAATCGGATGATTCAAAAATTGAATTTCCTCATAAACTTTTTCTTTACCTTCTCGCTTTATTCTCTATTGCAAATATAACCTCAGGCAGGTAAAATTTGCTTTTCAGAACCACAAAATAAGAAATTTAACACACTTTGAAATTGTAAATATGACATTCATATCCTACATTGCATTTTCTATTGTATGCGTAATAATATTATTAAGCGATGGCGTATTAGCGCACTCTTCGATGAAATATCCTCTTCCGCGTGGTCATCCATTAAACCCACAAGCACCAAAAAAAGATTATGCATGCATCACAGCACCACTCAACGGTGGACCTGACTGCCCTAAAAAACCGTTCCCATGCGGTGGGTACCCAGTTGACACTAAAGTCACACAAGTTTTCCATGCCGGGGAGGTGATCAATGTCAAATTCTACAATCCAAATTTCCCCGGAAAACTAACGCCTGCGGACACTAAACGTGATCAAGCTCGTCATAATGGTGGGCTTTGTGAGTTTTCCCTGTCTTATGATGGTGGTAAAAGTTACACGGTGATTGCTACCTATCATCGAACATGCCCCGATATTTTCTTTGATTGGAAAGTGAAAATTCCCGAAGCTGCTCCTTCTTGTGATACGCGTGGAAAATGTATTTTCTCATGGTCATGGATAGATGCAAACGGGAATCGCGAATTCTATCAGAATTGTGCCGACGTGAAAATTGTTGGTAATGCGACAAAACCATTGCCAGTTATTGATATTACACGCGCGAATTTACCACCAGAATTCAAGAAAATTATCACACCAGTCGGAGATCCATCGAATACGGACAATGCAAAAGGAAGTGGCCCATTACCGTCTGATGTTTCTGCTAATTTGGCATTGCACATCGGCAGTAGCGGCAATGGAAAATCAAATCCAACTTCCTCTGCACCAAAACCATCAAATAAAAAACCAAAAGATGGCAAGAAAAATAATGGACATAAGAAAAGCAAAAAAAGCAGCAAAAGTTCAAAAAAAGGCAAAAATAAATCCAATTAACTTGTGTTCAATCTGGCATTGATGAAACGTTCTACATGTATTATTCAAACCAATTTTTTATAAAATTTCAATTATGTGAATGCTAGTAATTCACATCATATATTATATTATGTCTTCGTAATATACACATCGATATAGTTGATTGAATTATTATAAAATTATTATTTGTATGTATTGATTATTAATACATATGTATTGTTGCATATATTCAAAGATAAACCTTTTTTTTCATCAGATAAACTTTTCCTCGAATTCATTTAATCTTCACAGACTGCAGCTAAAATTGACGTTGACATATCTATAGCAAGTAATGTATTTTAGGATGAATCCACGCTTGAAGTCTAGAGTAGAAAAGTAAATCGAGTTATCGAAACTCGTTTTATGCTTTCAATTTAGTTTTCTGTAACAGCGTTTCTTTCCATGTGATTTCAAATATTAATATTAACTCAAAGTTCAACGAATGATAGCTCTGAGCCAAATTTTCGATATTATCCCAAAGTTTCTTAGGTCATGATACATTATAAAGAACCAAAAGTTTCAATTTCTTAAAATTTTTGCATAAAAAATTCTTTAATAAAACCTTGCGATTTTCATCACTCGTCTAATGATAAAATTATGGGAACGTGATTTGGGCAAGCACACAATCTTAAAGTTTAGATAGAAACGAGGCAAGTTAACGTTTAAAAGTATTCAACTAATGGATACTTTATCGAAAAGCGTAACATAACAAATGATATGCATACAATATTTTTGATATTTTTTAAACATACTGTCACAAGCAATTCAAAAAGTTAGTTGGACTAAAGAATTGTAGATATGACAAGGGGTCAGTCAAGAGCTAGATTGTGGATTTCACTAGGATTTTGAGCTCTTTTGTGCCATCTTCACGGAGAATATGAAATCAAAGGGCAATTTGTTAAAGAAGGGGTTAGGTAAAGTATAAAGTCAATAATTTCTAATCCAAAGGTTCAAAACAATATTCAATTACTGATTAATATAACTTCAATTCAAATAACGCAAATAACTATTACTCCAAATCACGGAATAAGTTTCCTTCAAAATAACAGTATAAAATGAAATCGATAAAATAAAAGAATATCCTAATAACTCAAAGAATTTCAAACAAACTTAGAATCAGACACGATTCATGAACTTGTTTGGCCAAAGCAGTAAAGCTTTCGATTTTTAAACACAAAAAGAATTAAAGCTATCAATTTGTTTAGACCCAAAGATATAAAAACTGAAATAATGTTAGGTAAGAATTAAAATAATTAATTTTATTCATTTTTTTAAATCACACAAAGACTTGTCTCTTTGGCTTGCGAGAGCTGTCCTTTTATACACAATTGGGTTACTAACTATTATTACTCTACAGATCAGACTATTACAAGAATTCTCAGATCCTATCTTACAAAGGAAAAATCATTGGAGGAATTTTTAGTAAAAGGAACATGGCGTTGCTATCAGTACAAACAATAATGAAAAAAATTGATTATAATTAAAAAGCAAAGTAAATTATTATAAACTAACAAATAAAAAACTTTTATGTGCAACATTAAATATGAATTTTTGTAAGACTTTGTAAAGATTGCTTTGGATTAAGGAAGCAACATACGATATGAATGTTTGTGGATTACAATCACATTCTTTGGAATGCAAATTAGGCATAATTGGAGAGAATTCATGCTTTTAGGGAAGGCAAGTGTTGCTTGTTGATATCATAAAATACTTTTTTATGAATTTTGTGTGATGATATTAGTGCTGATGCTACAAGATACTAATTACATGTACATGTAAGAGTAACGTCTTTCATTGGTCCATAATTTCATGATTTTTCCATAGTTGTGACGTCACGAATTAATTTTTCGAAACCACGGGTTTTATGTTGCGACGGCAACAATACAATTGGTCCTTACATAGAGTTTGTCAATTGTTAGCATATTGATTTCAATCATTTGAGAATAAAAGTTTTCAACATTCAATAAGTTATGTTATTTATTAAAATCGGATTATGTGCTTAATACATGTGATGTAATTGTGTTGAAAATTTTGTTTGGAGATTTAAGGAACTCGGAAAAGAAAAGGGCTACAAAAATAGTTTTTCGCATATTTATCTAGACATGATCTTTAATAAGTAATTACCTCATGCAATCATGCAATATTTCTTCTATTGTCATGGCTGACTTCAATGCAACCCATTTATTATTCCGACGACCTTTGTATGCCCTTCCTTGGCAATTTTCTCAATATTAGTAAATTCTTCGAAAGCAATTTCAGGTGTCGATTGAATAAACTCTTCCATTCCATATACATGTACATGTATTTAAGATAAGACGAGCGAACTTCTTATCCGTCAAATGCTATTGATTGTTTCCGTAACAAAGGATAAACGATTGACAGTGTATGTACATCACTCTGAAGAATGTATCCAGACAGGATCAGCAATCGGAACACCACCGTGTTTAAGAACGATCTACTTTTGCCCTTGCCGTTTCGCTTATCGGTAATGATTTATTTTTAGCTACATGTACATGTAGTTACTTTATCTCGTTATGTACACAACGATGAATTTCGATGAAATTAAAAATAAACACTATTTCTAATAACAACCAATGTAAAGATAGCTTTCAATTGATCACAATATTCCTATTGATCATAATATCTCTTTTACTTTATCTTTTATAAAATTGATTTATTAGAAATTCTGTAATTCTCATTTAAATGAAATTAATTACTTTTGTATTTACCAATTTCAACTAATATTTTTGAGAGATTCATATATTGGACTTTAAAATAAAATAATAATTAAAATTAGCAAAATCTGTTCTGTTTATAATATATTTATATTTTTTAGATTTCCTTTTTATTAATAAGTTATAAATTAATTTGTTCATATTTGTGAGTTGAAGTTATTAAAAGTTAATTATTTTAGTTAAAATTGATATAAAAATTAAATGCAATTTATGGAACAATTAATAATTCAAATTTTATTATTGTTTTTATTAAATTCTAAGCGTACAGAATATATCTTTTTTATAAAAATTGATCACTAGAGATCATTTAATATTTCAGGTGGATCTTTTTTCTTATAAACAAATAAAACCCACTCACGCGCTAAAAAAATCGTCATAGATCATCAATATTAATGAAACGTGATGTTGAAGTGGTTTAACCTTGATTTTTTTGCTTTTATTACATTACCAATTATAGATTTAGGTATCTTAATATTTACCAATTTCAACTTATTGTTTTTTGACTTTTCATAGACTAACAATTTTTTTACATTCAATATTTGTAAGTTCTGATCTTTTAGTCATTACTCAAACATATTTATTTTAAAAGAGTAAAAAAAATCTTCTGAAAGTAGAAATTAAGATAAAGGCCAAATAATTTAACAATTGATGTATAAGCACTCTGTTTTTCATTAAATTTCGCAAAAAATTGATAAACGTTTTTTTACAGATACATGTAACTTCAATAAACATATAAAAAATTTTATTTTTCAAAACTAGAAAATTAGGCACATTCCATAAAAAAGTATAATAAAATTGAATGCATGAGTCGCCTACAATCGGTGTTTAAAGTGAGTTGATTTTCCTTCTTGTCCGGATACTTTTGTCAGGCCAGTGTACATGTACACTCACTGGACAAAAGTTTGGAATCGGGAAATGATCAGCAATGTAGGTCACGAATTTTGATATGACTT